CTGTTGAAAGGTAAAAGGAAGCCAGTGGCAAGCAAAATGGATTCTGAAATAACCCATCAGATGTGTTTGAACGTGTTCTCGCGACCGTTTGAATCATTAGAGGTAAAAAAATCGCACAATTTACGATACTTATAATCCAATAAAATTGCGCTTTCCTGGCGGTGCGGTTACAAATGTTATTACATATAAGATTAAATGCAATAGAAATAGAGAATAATCCACGGGCGCACGTAGATATGGAATTTCTCTTCGAGAGTTCAACTCGATAGCGCTCACGGGTGAGATGTCGAGTTGAACAAGAGAAGAGATATTCCATATGTACAAGCAACCATGTATTTTTTTTTTATCATAGTAACACATGCATAGCCGTTTACTGACAAAAAAAGCTGATGTTATTACTGAATGAAAATAAAAGAATCGACAATTCCCTTATAGAAATCGTACACTGGGCTGGGACAAAGGCTCAAGATGGAAAAAAGCGTTGAATCATGATTACAAAAATAACAATGGGTGTAATTTCCAATTTACAAAATTCTCATTCATTGATTTTTTTCCTTATGGGCAGAAGAAATCTTTCAGGTAAACGGTCAAACCGTTTTCGTTCTTAGCCGCGAGAAATGCCACCACCAAAACCACCGAATATGTAACTTTCGGTTTTTATTTCCGTATATCGGTTTTCTTCTTCTTCTAGGAAAGTTTGAACGTCACTGTCTGTAAGCGATACGGATTTTTCAGTGATTTGGCAGCCATAATCAGAGAAAATTCCAACAAACTACCTTGGACTGAGAATGGTGAAGGCGTTGCCGTTCATTCATCAACCTAACCGAGTGGCGCGAAAAGTGAGTGACTTGTCAGCTACTAATTAGCGATATCAAATAGACGTGAAAAAATATCGAATGTTTTCACGTGTGTTGTTACGACCTTTTTCAAGGCTGGAAATCCTTGTATAACACCATAAGTTATGCGGTAATGTAGAATAATGCACTGGAGTAAAGCTTACAACTAGATATAAAGTATGTAAAATCTAATGGAAGTTCACGATCTATGGAAGCTAAGCTACGATCCAATTTAATTGCATACCATCTACTTGCATTCAGTTTTTGTCCAGAATGCCTCTCCTTACCAAAAGCACACCGTACGCACAGTAACAATTCACCAACCTGTAAGAGAGGGAATTCCAGTATTAAGGCAAATCAAATCCTGCTGCTTGTTTTTCCACTTTGGGATAACTAAAGTAGCAGGAGATAAATGAATAATATGCACTTCTTGACTGAGTGAGAGTGCGGACGAAGAAATAATTGCCTTGCAGTAACGACTTGCGGACCGAGCGCAGCGAGGTGTGTGCACCAATATTTTCCCATCAGGCCAGACCTCACCTAGTCAATAAGTATTTTATCACATGATTTTTATGCCTTAACAATGTTGAAATCATGTTTAACCTTAGATAGGACTCGATCATCCAAATAAGATGGGCGCGCGCTAGACAACTATAAAGGCGGATCCTGGATAAAAAAATATTTACCTTTATTCCTTACTTCCTCATTTCTGTTTTACCTCAAGTTGGAGCCCACTTATGTAATTCGTCCTCTCGGAAAATGTAAAAGCACCGTGAAATTGCGGGGCCGAACGACTTTTTCACGAACCGGCCCACGTCAATCCATCAGACTATACACGTCAGCAGTCATTATGATGACTACGCTGATTGGCTAACTCCGAAACGAATAGCGAAGTTCTATTCAAACACGAGCAGCCGACCAGAAATCAAATGGCTTCTCGTTTAGCTACAGCTACAAAACACGAAAGGCTGTTAAGTAGAATCTAAAAAATGGAAATTAACCTGCATCTTTCCGATTTTTTTATCAAAACTCAAAAGTTACTTTTGAATACAGAAGATTATAGCAGTCAAAGATAGGCTAAATACTTTGCAGAATTGTATCAAGACGAGAAATGACGATTAATGAAGTGATTTTTTGGTAGATAACAGAAAATGCTTCGTAAAGTTACGTTCATTTGCAAGAAAGCGAGGCCTGAGTGTTTATACGAAGAAATTACCTACCCGCGAATGAGCATCGCCCGCTGAAACTTTTTGATCAGTTTAATTTTCGATTACATTGTGATAAGAAATAGAGCTTATTTTGTGGGTCCTCCAGTTATTCTGCTTTTGCGCATGAAAAATACCCGAACAGTTATTCTCCACAGGGTCTGTAAAGGTAGAGGAGATTACCTCGCCGGCCGGCGCCGCTTCACGAGTCTGTGAATATTCACCCCTTTTGGCTTACACTTCGGTGAATAATTGTTCATTGCATTTGCATTTAGCCCGCGTGATCATTAACGGTCCCTTAACAGAGCTAGCAGACCAACGCCAAAAGAAGAAGGTTTAAAATTAATAAATTATTATGAACTCGAGAAAAAAGCTAGTTGATCGTTTGTATACTTCAAGAAGAAGGAAAATTGCATGATGATTGGAATTGGTAGTTTTCAAACATGACACTTCGATATTGAAAAAAAGCAAAAAATTTCTTATGATGAAGAAAAGAGACGATTTTTGATTAAATCTTGGAACTCTTAGCGACGTTTGCTTTGACGTAGTAAAATGCAAAAAACAAATGGCGGGGTTTTTTTCTTCCTTTCAGAAAAAAACATTATCTATGTACTCTACGTGAAGCAGCTGGTTTTATTCAATAGCCTTGAGCACAAGCGTTAAAGATTGTGGGTGACTCCAATCAGAACTGAAAGATAAGATCCTAACAGCTCCGTTTCCGTCAGCCGCTTTTTAAAGTGACAGTAAGTGTCGATCTTAAAGTAACGTTGTTCGTCATTCGATTAATTCTTCAGTCCCGCTAGCGTCTCCGCCACGAATTTACTGGACCTCGCGTTAAAATCGTAAGTACGATGTACAATTTTCCAACGGTCTAAATCGTCTTAGGCTTCTTCAAGTACCCAAAAAATAGCGGTTGCTTGGTTACAATTGTTTTACCTTTCCTCACAGATCTTGGAATTGTATTCAAAACAATGAAAAAACGAACAAGAAAAGAAAATCCGATGTAATTCCATTTGCTTTGCCGCAAGCTTTGTATATGATTTCAAGCAGTGTGTGTGTGAAAGGGTTTTCTTCCGAAGTTAAGTCTTTTTGTTCCGCACAATTGTCAATATATTGATCGAGATTTTCAGTTGTAAAAGGAAAAATCATGTTTACATTTCTAATTCATTTCCGCTGGGTTTAAAGCTTTTGCTAATTTTCTTTGATCTTTCAAAAATTCCACGCTAGATTTGCTGCGGATTTAGCTTATCGCGTTATTTGTTCCGAACGTACCTTCCAGCTATATTTTCTCTTTTCAAATACTAATTTTGATCTCCCTTGCTTCAGTCGACTTTTTGTAATCCTATAAAATCTACACAAATTTCAGTCCTTCCGCCCTGACACAATCTGCTCAATCTTTAATTTATCAATTGAGTTTCAAACGTATCATTTCATCTGATCGTCCTTTCCATTTGAACTTCAGGGCTTTTAAAATATCAATGTCCGTATAAGGTATGCCATTTTCCAGTATTCTCCATTTAATACGAAATTGTAATTTACTACACTGTAATTACGTGATTCTCCGGCCTGCCTACGTATTTTCAAAGCCAAAAATCTAATTAGACGAGGTGCATTAATGCAGTAAAAAAGGGGAAGAACTCGAGATTAAATTTCAAAGGAAAAGCCAAGTTTGGCGTCTTTATACTTCGCAATGGATGGGAAATTTAAACTGTTCATAAAGACCGATCCAAAATCAAAATTTAAAAACTCAGTTATCCTTCTCTTCAGCTCAAATGCGTTCATTTGGTCGAAAAACTCAACCTTAGACTACCAGCTATTACGCCGACAGTTTCAACTTTTCCAAAGTTGAAAGTCTTTGCATATTAACTGGTGTCTTTGTTTTATTTTGACATTCCTGACAACACTAATATAAGGCACTTGAAATACATTGAAAGAAATCGGTTTGCGAAAGAAAATCGTGAAGAAAATTGTGCTTCCTCGCTTCAGTTACATAGTGGGACTACGTAGATTACTTGACGCGTCAAAAAATGAAGCATTTGTGTGCTGACTTCATGGCAAGATTTACTCGATCAGACCACTGGACACGGAAGCTCAATTCTTTGCATGCGTTTAATTTCATTTTTGTAAATAATGTAATCAGCTCGGTTGTTTTGGTTAGTCAGCTGCTGTTTTTGTGCTGGTATCATCGAATGAGACTGTACCCCGAAAAGAAATTGATCACTTCTCACGCATGAAAAACAAAATCCACAGATAAATATAACAACGCAATCATCCGAAATAAAACAAAATGCATTTAGGCCGATGACATTAGCGTCGGGCTTAAAAATTTGCGAATTCGCAAGTGAGATCAATAATTGCGGTCTTGATTTAAGAGCTCTGGTCAATTTGGTCAGATATGATAAACTGGCCTCTTACAAATTTTACGCGTGTTATTACTTTTACGATGTTTATTTTCATTTCATTGTTATAATTTTCCTTTCCACGCCGAGTAAGTGCTCTCAAGGTACAATCAGTTGTTTTTGTGTTTCGTAGTTGGATTGCCACCGGCTTTTTAAACTTAAATGCAAAGTAGAAATAGAAAGTAGGTTTCCCGCCGACACAAACAGTTCACTTCTCACAGTTTCAGCAATTTAAACGCAATTCTGAATTTTTTAACAGTCAAATTAGTAACTCCTAAAGGTAAAACTCTGTAATAATGTGCCCGTAAAATAAACCAGAGCTATAGCTTCAGCCATTTCATAGGAAATGCGTCTTGTTTTTTTTCGCATAACACAACTCTTTGGAGGCGATTACGGGCGAGTAGACATTTACTGACAGGAACAAATTGTCTACAACCTTGTTCCGTGCAAAAGGTGTGGAAATTAGATGAGAGCAACTGACATTGTTCGAAGATATCTCACTATCGCCATTATCTGATTCTGCTAGAGCTCTAAATTGTGCCCTGATCAGCCAACAGGTGGCTTTTTTTTTTCTGTGCGTCGATCAGATTATGATGATCATGAAAGCCCTATTCGGCCAGCAAAATAGCTGTGTATAAACGGATGTGTTCATCGGTACGACTATAGTTCCGCTGTTGACAAATTGAAAAACCTTCAACGACACAAAAAGTTCTTTACGAGTCGATGCTTTAAAATTTTGTTGACACTTTGAGCCAAAACAGTCCGAATGTTCAGGAGAAGAAAGCGATTAGGGCTAGAATAATAGTAGTTATCTCATCCTACTCACATTGTTTGCTGTCTGTAATTTGGGTAATATTGCCTCAACGACTAACAGCATGAGCTGTCAAACAGAACAAATTGCTGTCCATTTAGGGTCAAAATTATTCGTTGATGGCGTTTTCCTGGAGGTTTCATAACCGGTGCTAAAGTTGAACACATATTTAATGTTCGGCACATTCACATTTCATTCATAACTAACTGTGCGTGTTACAAGAGCTCCCGCAATTTGCGTTATTCATAGTTCTAAGAAACTGCGCCGAGTTCCGCGTTGTTTTTGTCTGCTATCATACCATAAGTGGGTAAAGCATGAAAAAATGTAATGTATTCTTAACAAAAGTTTTCGTGGCTTAATGTTTTTTATTATCTTCAACAGAAAACGTCGCTGAAAAGAGAAAGTATCATTGGATTTTACACAAAAACACCGATAAAAAGGTCGGTATTTCTCATTTTGTTCATGTTTCCTGAATGCACGACCTTTTCTAATTTTTAATTTTTAATTTTATTCAAATAAAATTAGGGTGGCTAGCATCCCGACGTAACAACATAGCAACGCGAAATGTTGTAGTAAACGAAAGCTGTTTTCAAGGCCATTTTACCGTTGGTTTATCGCTAAACACAATGTACACCAGAGCTTCATTCTATAAAACGCTGATAAATCTCAAGCCAGAGTTTTCACGCTAAGTTTTAAAACTTAAACTTGGTGATTTTCAAATATATAAAAGTGTCATTTTAATGAATTTGTGCGTTTCTTTCGGGTACTTATCATAATAATTAATTTACTTCAAGACGTGCCGACAAGCATTACTTTTAAGTTCAGTGATTCACAGACAAAGAAGAAGTAAAATAATCGCTTTTTCGTTTCCTGTTGCGGTATCGGAAGAGAGGCGTCTATTTATTTGTGCCTACTGCGGTCATGTTGTTCGGTCATCTCTTAGCTGACCGCAAATTTACATTCTCGACATTTGACTAAGAAAGTGTCTCGCATTTTCCTCTAACACTTCCCGTGCTGACTCCCACGCGCGGTCACGCCTAAATGCTTAAAACACATCGTCGGCTTTTCAAATTTCCTCGTTTGTATAAGGTAAAAGTGTGATTAAATGACTTGATTTTGTTAAATAGCTCATTGGTTCCGGAAAAAAATAGAAAGAAACTGTCATCCATCACGAACTAGATTTGAAGAGATGAATCTGAGTGATTTAATCTGTCCTACGGCTGGCTCCCTCACCGAGTAGGTTTTGTACCCCAGGCAGAAATGGTAATGGTAAAGGTAATTGCGCAATAGGATTCCGTATTGTGGCGGTGGCTACTCTTGCAGTTAGCTTCGAGAGGATTTTCGTTGGGGGAAAGGAGAGCCGTCTTAATCACTCAACAAAAGATCCCAGAATGATTGAAAAACTGCATGGCAAAGATTTTTCACCGACATTCTTATATGTGCATTTACTTGTGACAAAACTTTGAACAGGTTATTGTCTTACGAAATTCCAATAGTTACGAAATTTATAAATTCAATAAAACAAGTTCTACCGGCAAGAAAATGGGAAGAAGTCAAAACTAATGCAAATTAAATTTTACATACGGTAAGGATACGCTTTAACAATGAGAAATAAACTCAAACACGAAAAAAGCAGTAAACTCATTGTCAGCGACACAGCTCCTGCAGGACAACAAGTAAAAAAAAATGTTCAACACGTGTAAGCAACACGCGACAAAGGAAAATCTTATAACCAATTGAGGTCCTTTACCAGCCAGTTCCGATCAGATGCTGTGACAATTGTGCCCCTGAGAACTCGTTTACCGGTGACGCCATTAACTGGCTCCATATGCAACAACTGTATGTGGAAGGCGGCCTTCCCCGCTTTCTACAGTTCTGTTGACTCGGCTACTTTTTCTTGCACTGCATCACTACATTCCAGTATGACAGTAAGAAGATTCCACTGTGGCAAAAAACGGCAAATATAGAGAGATAAAAAACTTAGAGTAAGGTTTGTTAATTACCTTTGTTGGAAAGCACTCTTTTTTTTTTCAATTCTTTTGTGTGTGTGTGCGTGTGTGTGTGTGTGCGTGTACGGTCAAATGTGTCACTAGGCACCTAAATTATTTCATCGAATGTACAAAACCAGACAAATCTATTCAAAACAAAGTGAGACGAGGCGAGGCAAAGAAAAGCGGTAAAATATGATTGAGACTGAACACCCTGTAATTACACTAGGATACCACAGGGTACCATGGACGCAGAACCGACCTTGAATTAACGAGATATAATTAACAAAGACAAAATATAAAAAATGCAAAAAAGAACTTAACATAGGAAACAAAAGAAGCTAACGATAGAAGACTAATTAATAAAAGCTGAAAGAAGGCAAAAACGAAACTAAGCATGAGACGCGAAAAGCACTGACAAAGACAACAACGTAATACAGGCGCCTGAAGCTTACATAAATTGTTCTTACATTTGAGGGTGAGATCTTAACTAGTGGCTTCACTTTCATTTCATTTCACAGAAATGTAAGGATATTTTCTAGGGGTAACCGGTCATTTCGCCTACGAGTCGTTTCGCTAACGACGAACTCGCCAACGACTAGGTCGTTTCGCCCAAGACGTTAGCAAACCGGTCGTTGGGGAAACCAATCGTCGGCGGAATGATCGTGAATGACTTTCATTTGGTCCCACAGATTTTTTTTAGCTCGCTACGTTGACGTTACTAGTACTTATTCTAATTTTGTGCGTTGAAAGACATTTTGAAAACTCCTTGACCAGGTGTGATTAGAATTCTCTTAAGCGCATTCTCTTAATCAGCCCTCCAGGCTTACTTTAGAGCCTTTTTTATAGACTTGCTGTCGAGGAAAGAGGCTAATTCACATGACCCGTTGATTATGAAAGAGATCTTAGGGCTGACTCAAACTTGCAAATTCCATCTCAATACTCCATCTTGATATTTTTTGGACCTTTTTTTGTTGTTTCTCATTCTTTGCCTTTTTCGATATCGTTTCTCCATTTCATCCCATTTTCTCCCTTTCTCTATTTAATTTACATTTTTCCTTTTTTTATGTTTTTTTCTTTCTATTTGCTTTCCCTTAGTTTATCGACTTATTAATTCTTTATTTTGTCTGTCATCAGATGCCACAGACTCTAAATTTAACAGTCCTAGCGCTGTTACTTTGTACACTTCTGCCATTTATCAGCACCCAAAGCATCACTCAGAAAAAATGTTTAACGGCGTGTGGAACGTGTCTTCACAAATGTACTTTTAATGAAGATGTTCAGATCAAATTAATGATGGGTACAAACACTATTGACGAACTATGCACTGATCCAGCTTTTAGCTGTCGAAAAAGTTGTAAAATGCTGTCGAGTTATGATCCCTCTCGTTGCTGGTTCGAGGGAAAAAAATAGGACCTAACAAGTTGTGATTTATGTAACAGAATTAAACAGAATTCAAACAATTTAAAAGTTCTTCGAGTGTTGTTAGTCATGATATGTTGAAAAGGTACGAGTAATTGCTCTTGCTGGAAGAAGCTTAAGATCAGAAGCAACAAGCATCAAACCCAGTATATTTGATGGTTGGAGAGTGTAGAGGGAACTTGTTTAAACGCACTAGAGGGAAATTGAAAAGGTTGAAAAAAAAACATAGCAATCACGAAGGTGATGGTTGCGAAAAGATCCACTGTAAAGATGAATTTGTCGGCGATTGTTATAACTAAACGTCATTTGATGAGATGCTTCGCTTTCTGGTACTAAAATTCCCCTTTCGGCACACGAGATCCCCAAATTAATTGCAGAAAATTTCTCCATTTAGTCGACATTCAGATCGTTTTTGAAAGTAATACCTCTTTTGAAATTGATTAGCTTTCAGACAATAAAATACTTCAGCATAAGGTCGGGTGTTACTGGCAAGAATTGGATATTACAACCGGGAAATCAATGACTTTCCCTGATAATCTTTAATATAACCCCACCATCTAAAATCCAAAATCTTTTCTCCTTCAGTGCGTCCCATGCATAACAGTGTTATCAGATGTTATCCATCGTAAAAAAAGAACAGATTATGTGATGTAGTACAAATGGAAAGCCCGTGACTCAATACTTAGGATTAGATATTTTGAGGACAATGAAATTTAAGAAAGAAAACTTTGGAAATTTTAAGAGAGGATGTCAGCATCCATCGAACAAATTAAAAATATTGTGGCAAGTCGCCCAAAATTATTTTTCTCTCCTACTTTCATATTTTGTAGCCCAATATGTTCTAATAATTGTGGTGTAGTTTTTTTGTGAAAATATATTTTAGTTTTCGAGAAATGACTTTTTTCGTTCGACCGCGCAAATATGCAAATTTTCACCGTGACTATTACCCGAGTTGTGTGACCTCATGTAACGACTGTACT